GCAGTGGGACTTAGGCGCCAAGTGGCAGAGTGGATCAAGCTTTGGGAACGGGTCCCAGATTACCATGGCATGCTTCGAGCTGGGTGGCATGCGGCTGTTCAACGCCTACAGAAAGCACGACCCCGTGGGCGGTGGAATGTGGTAACGGGACCAATGGCAGCACTTATCCAAGGCTTGTCAGAGCTGGGATGGCCCTTCAGCGAATCAGACACTTGGACCGGCTCGAAGCAGAACGTTTGGCGAATGACGGATACGTACAGTGAATCCCGTGCGTCCGCCACATCCAGCGACCAGAAGACTAACGAGACGGAGCTGAGGACTGTACTGGGCGGGTGTCCTGTGCAAGCTGGGTGTCCTGTACCAGATGGGCGTCCTGTGCCAGCTGAAAGTCCTGTACCAGCTGGGGGCCATGCACAAGCTGGATGTCCTGTGCCAGCTGGATGTCCTGTACCAGATGGGTGTCCTGCGCCAGCGTCGAGCATCAAGTCCAGCGAGCAGCAGGGGGAGATGCCAGGGCAGGCCGAACTCATTGGTATTCGGAAAAGGTCTGAAAGTCCTGGGGTTGCTCTGGACAGCTCCCAAGGCCCATGCGCCGCCACACCTGCTAGACGCGGTCCGGTAAAACCCTGTCACGGGACTACCACCGTCGCCTCCAGACGAATAGGGGGCGCAGGCGGCCCAGGACTACGCGGACATGAGAGCAGACTTGCGAGAATGGGCAGCGGCATGGTTCGACGGCCACCCCAGCTATGCCCGAGATGATAGCAACTGGAAGGAGTGGTGCGAGGCTTTTCTCCCAAAGATGCTGAATGGAGGCAATACTGAACCACTGCGCAGATTACTGCGCGCTTGGTTTCCCGACAGATCCCTCGCCTCAATCATCCAGGAGCTTTGTGGCAGCGCTTGGGGACGGACAGAAAGGCGCCGCGATGCTCTTATCGACAGATTGGCAGTATCTGAAGCCCCACAGCGACGCCGTCTTGGACGCATGCACTGGATAATGTTGACAGACATCAGGGCTATGCTTAGGAGGCTCTTGGGTACGAATGCGCCCGACGTGCGACGGCCTCCACTTCCACGTCAACCAGACAACGACAATGACCAGGCCGCGGACGTGCATGACCACCTCATGGCTCAGCTTGTAATGATGGCTCAGCCTGAAGCAGCCTCACTTCAGCAAGTACCAGATCGCCAGGCTGCAGATCGCCAGCCGCAGCAGACTGCGACCAACATGGACGGCGACCACGACCCTTTCGAGGACATGGAAGAGGGCACCGAGTTCATACAGTTATCGAATGGTGGTGTCTCTTCAATAGATATTCGTGGACACGAAGCCGTCGTCGGAGCTGGACACTCCGTCAAGTCTCTGGATGCTGACAGCGGGACCGCTACTCAACAGCTACCAGTTCGATAAGAACAGCTACCTGCAGCAGGCGACGCCTACCAGCAGTCAGACGACACCACCCAGCTCATGGCCCACATCACTGCTGACGTCATCCAGGAGTTGTGGCAACAAGTAGCCAGATATCGGCATGGAGGTCAGTGGGGTCCACAGCAGATCTCACGTCGGCTCTGAGAACGCTCCAGAGGATGCGACGAACGGATTCCCATCGGGAAGCTGGAGCGCTTGAAGCAGCGTTGTGTAATACAATTTCGACTGAAGAACGCTGCCGCGCTGAAGACTACGAATGCAATGTACTCGATGCACGACGGGTCACAAAGAGACGATGGGCCACCGAGTATGGAGTTGCCCTCGCACGTGCGCACAAGATCGCCCTTGGATCCGACAGAGCGCTAGGCTATGTAAGGAAGCTGTTCGGGACATCACCAGCGGGACCAACTTGTAGTTATGGCTAAGAGGGTTGTCACCATCCACGTGGGATCCTGTGCCGCCCCCTCCTTCGTGGGACACACCTTGCCTGCCGTTCTACATCGACTGGGACGGGCCGACTGTATCACTCGATGGCACGGTGCACTTCGAGAGCCGCGTCGGCTGCAAGCTGGCCTTCCTGGACGGCCCGGCTTCGAGCAACGACGCGCGCATTGCGCGTGCGGGCTGGGGCGTCTACCTTGCCCAGTCCGCGGCCAGCGTTGGAAAAGATGGCCCTGAATCCCCTCGACCACGAACGTGCGGGGGAATGGACGGAGCCCAGACGGTCCCGTGTGCCGAGCTTGCGGCCCTTTGGTGGGCCGTGAAGCTTACCAAGGGGCCTATATGGCTCTACGCTGACAGTCAGATCGTGTACGACGGTTGGCATGGTTTCTCGGAGACTTCGGGAGAACTCAGAGGCTGGTGGAATCGAGTATTTTCAGACGCTCAAGGCCGACGGGTGATGCTCAGTAGGTGTAATTCGCACCTTGATAAAGTTTCGCTAACCTCCCTGGTCTTAACCCCCTGTGTTACGCGAGGCAACGACCTTGCAGATAAATTCGCCCAGGTAGGAGTACAACGCGTCTCAGAAGATATTGGCCCAGAGGTCAGAGATCTTGCGCGTGCGGGATTCAAAGAGTGGCTAGTCCAGAAGAGGCTAGCTATTGTTAGTGCGACTGCTGCTAGTGCTGAATATGAGCGCAAAGGCCGCCCGCGTATGGTCATCCTTGCGCCCGCTGCCTGGCGCGTAAGGAAGGAACTCGAGAAATATACGGGGCAACAGCTTTCCAAGGTTGGCCCCTCCTGGGTGTGTAGCCACTGCTAGAGTGGCCCAGGTAAGTTTTCGGTTGTGGACTGGCTTCGTACAGGCAGTTGCCCTGGACCCCAGTATCATCGAGTAGTGTCTCAAGGTAGGCCCGTCCGCCTCCTCCCTCGGTTCAGAATCGAGGATAGGGAGGTCCATGAGTCTCACAATGCAGCCATTATGTACGGCCAGATTTTCTGTTGGAGGTGTGGGCGCCTCGGTTCCACGACCCCCTCGGGCGGTAGGCTGGGGGCGGGGATCGTGGTTCAGTGTAATGGGCACCCCACCCCAGCAGGGAAAGAGGCATTGATTCAAATTCAGCGTTAGGAGGTCCCCTCAACGAGGGGCAAGGCTGTGTGGCCTGACGGCACCCCCAACGCCCCTAGACAGAGAAGGCGCACAGCGCGCCGACAGGGGTAGCTCTCAGTCCCACCGCCAGCTGCTCATCGGTGAGATTTTTGGCCTGGTTGTTAATTGTCCTCTAACCGTCCTCCTCCCTCCTCCCTCCTCCCTCCTCCCTCCTCCTTCCTCCCTCCTCCCTCCTCCTCCTCCTCCCTCTCCTCCTTCTCCTCCTCCTCCTCCCTCTCCTCCTTCTCCTCCTCCTCCTCCTCCTCCCTGCTCCTCCTCCTCCTCCTCCTCCTCCTCCTCCTCCCTCCTTCCTCCTCCTCCTCCTCCTCTACCTCCTTCCCATTTCAGAAATACTCGCAAGATGAAGTTGGCCTTTCTCGGCCAGTGCACGCAACCTCGAACCAAGGCTCAACTATCATACCGCGCATGTTGTTTGTCAAAAGACATCATCACGCCAACCTCGCACCTTCCGTCCAGCCAAGAACATCAAACCGTAATCGAGAAGCCGAACCAGATGGCTAGCCAACTCATCATGTAGCTCCTGCCCGTGCTGCCGATGGTCCCCCTGCCACTTTTGAGCTCCACCAACTGCCCGTCGCTGATCTGAGTCGCCAAAAACTATGGGCAACGCCAACAATTGGAGGACTGGAAATGGGCACCAACACCAACACAGGGGGTTGCCTCCACAGGGGGAAGGTGATCCTGGACTTCGGTGTCGGTGGTGACATCTCGGTCGCCTCGGAAGCCAGAGTATCACCACCATCACCGGGATCGGGATCTTCTTCCCTCGATGGAGGCACACCGCCGACATTGCTGTTGGTGTCCACCTCTGTGTGAGGGGTGAAAAAGCGACCCTACCCTGGGTTACAAGTGCGTGGTCTGTAAACCTCCTGGGAGCCCCCAAAGCCTAGAGCCGCCAGGACGCGGCACATGACGCAGGGCTTGCCCTGTCGGCCCACAGGAGTTTCAGCGCACGGCGCCTCGCAAACCAGGGTACACCCTGCGAAATGCTTAAGAAATCATGGGTTAAGAAATTCATCGTCTCAGAACTTGAACTAAAACCCAACATTTCTATTACAATCTTAGGATTTACATTGAAACATTAAGAATAATCGAGCCTCTGGCCGAAAACTTAGGTTTTCTTAAGCATCGCCTAAGGTGTAGGGGCGTTTTTCTATGCCCTTGACTCCAGATCTGCGAAGCCAGGCGCTCTTCGTGCCGACCGTGGCCGCCGCAACAAAAAGGCCAATCTCGTGCTCCCTTCGAGCCCGGCCTCGACGCGCGCGCACCCCACGGCGGCGACAGCACGGACCCCCGACAACGGCGACGGCGACGACGAACACGACGACGACGGCGACGGCGACGACGCCGACGAGGACGACGACGACGTTGACGACGCCGACGAGGACGACGACGACGGCGACGGCGACGGCGACGACGACGACGACGGCGGCGACGGCGACGACGACGACGACGACGACGACGACGGCAGCAGCGGCGCCCGACAGGAATGACAGCGCCCGACGCCCGACGCCGACGACGGCGCTCGACCGACGCCAGTCGTCCGACGGTGGCGGCGGGCGGGGGTCTCAGGCGTGGCGGAAGGCGCTGCAGCCGTCGGGCGCACGGCGGCGGGGCCGTTCGGGCGAGGCCGAGATCCACGAGGGTGGACGGTCCTGAGCAACACGAAGAGAAGGAGGAGGAGGAGGAGGAGGAGGAGGAGGAGGAGGAGGAGGAGGAGGAGAAGGAAGGAGGAGGAGGAGGAGGAGGAGGAGGAGGAGGAGGACGAGGAGGAGGAGGAATAGGACGAGGAGGGATGGAGGAGAAGTGGGAGGAGGTGGAGGAGGAGCAGGATCATGACGACAACAAGTAACGTCGGCAAATATTGGGAGGATGGAGAGGGAACGGGGAGGAACGCCTAGAGGCAGGGCTTCGAGATGCTTAACCCTTGCGAGATCAAGAGAAGCAGCGAGGCGCCGGTGACGCCGCCGCGTCCATGTCGAGGAGGTCTACCGGGGGAGCGGCGGCGGGCTGTTTAGCCTCGGGCACTGGGTCGCAGAATCAGGAAATCCGTGGATGCTGAATACACAGCGTGCTCGTCCCCACCCTGCTGCCTTTTTGGATTCCCCCTCCCCTCCGCCACTCCCGTGGTCTTGTTCCACTTGCTGCTGCGACTGCCCACGCCGCTGCTGTTCGTGACCACTCGCACCCGTCCTCCGATGCGAGCACGGTCAGCAAGGCCTGTCCTGCCGGAGGCAGCAGAAAGCTGCTGCTGGCCGACGGGACCCCATGGGACGACTCGCGCCGTTCTCCGCTGAGCGTGACAGACCAACCTTAATACTGCGAAGATGCCCCTGATATGCAATGAACCAACAGTCTTGCTCACTTGCTGAACCTCTGAACGACGCAAAGAAACTGGAAGGCCTTGCTCGGATCATACGTTTTCGTACTTCCGTCTCGCAACTTGCGCTCTCCTGCCTTGTATTTCACGCTCTCCTTTGGCCTCCTCATCCTCCAGTCATGTTGGAACCATGTGCCGACGCCACAGCTTTAATATGGACGCAAAGACATGGTATCGGAATGTGTGTGTGTTTTTTTTTGTGTGTGTGTGTGTGCGTGCGTGCGTGCGTGCGCGTGCGCGTGCGCGTGCGCGTGCGCGTGCGCGTGCGCGTGCGTGTGCGTGTGCCTGTGCGTGTGCGTGTGCGTGTGCGTGTGCGTGTGCGTGTGCGTGTGCGCGTGCGTGCGCGCGCGCGCGTGTGTGTGTATATGTGAGCGTGCGTGCGTGCGTGCGTGCCTGGGTGCGTGCGTGTGTGTGTGTGTGTTTGTTTGTGTGTGCGTGCGTGCGTGCGTACGTGTGTGCGTGGGTGCGTGGGTGCGTGGGTGCGTGTGAGAGAGAGAGAGAGAGAGAGAGCGTGCGTGTGTGCGTGTGTGCGTGTGCGTTTCAGCGAGATTTGGTTACCTTCTTGAGGCTTCCATGCTTCGCCCCTCCCCATCCTCACACACAAGCGGCCCCCTCGAAACATTCCGAGGAACTCTCCCAAACCCACAGTCTCGACCAAGAGCACGCGCTGTGACGAGCTCCGCCTCCGATGGCAAATCACACCGACGCGCACAACAGTCTACAGTCGGACCTCGGACAGACAAGCATCCTTCAAGAACGCGAGACCCTCCGCGGGCCAAGACACCCAGAATCGGGGATGGACAGACCTCCCTTTAGTAATACGTGGTTTAGTGAAAACGACCTGAGGCCCAAACCTGGCGGGCGCAAGCCTGGAAAACAACGGCCGCGGCGCCCTCTCGAGAGCCGAAAACGGACAATTCACCAATCGACGTGTCACTGTTGGGGGTTCTGTTCGCCCCCGACGGAAAGGGTGCCCCCCCCAGCGTGCACAAGAACACCCCGCGAGCACGAAGAGCAGCAGGGCACCCTCCCCGAACCGACCTCGCCCTCCTACCCCGGCCGGACGGCGCTGGCGGCAGTCTCCGCCGAGGGCCCGCCTTCGCCGCGCCCTCGGTGCACGGGCCGCGGGCGACGCCCGGGGGAGGCTCGGGCACCTCCCGGTCGAGCGTGCGGCTCTTGATCCACGCCTGGCGTGCTATCGCTCGGCCGCCGCTTGCGGGGGGGCGCTCCTCCCGGAGGGCGCGGCGGCGGCACGGCGAGGAGAGCGGAGCGGGTGGGGGGCGGGAGGGCCCCTCTCCCCCTATGTAAGCGCACCCAGAGAAGGAATCACTGGGAGGAGAAGCAAAGACGACGATGATAGGAATGCGGGGGATAAAGTCGGGCCATGACGCCCCCAAGACGTCCAAGATTGCCTCCCAAAAAAACAAGGGGTCGGCGGTGTGGCGCAAGCCTAAAGAATCAAACAGGTCGGGTCAGGGTGGTTTTCCTCCCCTGAAAGAAGGCGTGCAGCGTTGATCCAGGGTCCAGGCACGGTCTGTCCCCTCGTGGGGGCTGCCGGCGCGCCTGTCCTTGACACGTCTCCTAGAAAGGGACGCCAGCGAAATGGGATTCTGAGACCGCGGCGTTGCACTGGAGACCTCGCAAAGTGCGAGCGAAAGCGTCGCGCAGCGACCTTGTGGGCGAAGCCGAACGGACTTGAGAAATCGGCATCGTCCGTCTCAAAAGTCCCCTTCCCTGGGGTTCCTTTTGGAACCAGATGAGTCCTGTGCCGTGAGCCAGGGGCGACAGGTAAGGCAGGGTGACGATGAACGACCAAAAGGGCGATTGAGAACACGACTGCACCTCCTTGTACTGGGTTGCCCCGGAAGGAGGGAGAGGGGTCTGTTGGGCTTTGCGCCACCTGAGCCTCCAATGCTGACTGGGTCGTCCCCTGGTACTATCTAAGCGCCATCCCGCGTTGCATCTATGCCCCCTTCCCTGGGGGTGGGGCGTGATGAGCCGAGTGTCCAACTTGACAAGGCGGGAAGTATGGGAGGAGCACACCCGCAAATCCTAAATACAGGAGTCCCATGCGGGGTTCCACAAGCAAGCTGATGCGAAGGTGGAAGGACCATGTGCGTCATCCACGCAAGGGTACGACGAATACAACCTCGCAGCTACAATCTTGTCCGCCGCTTTTGGATTTTCCAGGAAGGGGGGACCCAACGAAGGTCATGGAGCTCCTCAGGGGCTCTCGAAAAAAGACGCCGAGGCGGACCCGAATCTTCGAGCCTTCGAGGTGGCCTCCAAACGTATTCCCTCCCACCTCTGCCACGTCTTGGGGTCTCCAGCCGCACGTGTGGCGGGGCGTCCAAGCTGCCGCTTTGCGGAATCGCTCCGCCGCGTGGTCATATAACAGAGGAGCTAATAGCTGCACAAGCATGCATTCGCAGAGGTCCGCGCAGATTTCTTGGATCGGCGCTGGACCTCCTTCCCTGGCGCCCGGCGCGCGGAGCGCAGCCGAGGGCGACGGAAGAAGCGCCGCCAGGCGGCTCCAGCGCCGATCCCGGACAATCCGCGCGGAGCTCCGAAAATTGTGTATGCCGTTTCTCCCGGCCCCCATGTGTTTGGGCCCCTGTTTTAAATGGAGCGCTGCAGGCTCCACCTCCTCTCCCCCTCCTTCTCTCCTCGTGCCTTCAGCCTGCCTCCCGTTTCCTGCTCGCCGGCCTGTCTGGGGGTTCGATGGGGGGCCTGCGATGTGCGAAGCTGGCGCTGCTTTCGCTGGCCTCTGGGAGGTCCAGCGGGATGACGTCCTAGGCAGAACAGAGCGGGACCTCGCCGTCGCTGGGGGGCTGCGAACTGCAAAACTGGCGCCACTTCCGAGGGTTGCTGGGGATTCCATACGAGTGACGTCTTACGCTGATAATCTGAGCGCGACCTACCTCGCTATCCTTGGCGGGCTGCAAACTCCGAAACTGTCGCCACTTTCGAGGACAGCTGGTGGTTCCAGCTAAGTGACCTCCTACCCAAATCAAAGCGGGACCTCGCCATCCCTTGAGGGATGCGAACTGCGAGACCGCCGTCATTTTCGAGGGCTGTTTGGGGGTCTAGCGGGCTGACGTCCTGGGCAAATCAGAGCGCGACCTCGCCGTCGCTGGGTGGTTGCGAATTGCGAACCTGCCGATGCGTTCGAAGGCTTGTGGGGGCCCAGCGGGGAGACGTCCTAGACAGATCAGGGAGGGACGTGGCCGTCCTTGGGGGTCTGCGAACTGCGAAATTGTCGCCTCTTTCGAAGGCCGCTAAGGGGTCCAACACATTTGCCATTTTCGAATGCTGCTGTGGGGGGTCCAAGCGAGTGACGTCCTGCCCAAATCAGACTGGTAACTCGCCATCCTTGGAGGGTTGCAGCGACATTGTCACTATTTCCGTGGGCGTGTGGTGGTGCCAACTAAGAGACGTCCTACCCAAATCAAAACGGGACCTCGCCATCTTTGGAAGGCTGCGAACTGCCACAGTATCGCCACGCTCGAAGGTTTTATGGAGGGTCCAGCTAAGTGACGTCCTACCCCGATCAGAGCGGGACCTCGCCGTCATTGCATCGCGGGGTGACCTGGACTGCCTCTGGCTGCACCTCTGCGTGATGCTTTCCAATGCCACCTGCCACGAAAATAAGCAACCTCCTGGTGATGCGCGGCCCCGGGTTCGATTTCCTTTCCCGCGGGCCGCCCGCAAACCTGGCGGCGCGCCTGCGGTAGTTCAGCCCCCGCGCGGAAAGCTGTGGGAAGACAGCGAAGAGGCTGGCGCGCGAGCTGGGGCTTGCTTCGGCTTCCTGCGCAGTGATGGACAGCTCATCCTCCAGGGCGCCAGAGCAACATGGCTCGGGCTCCGTTGCGCATCAGCGCGCCAATGGGAAAATCATCTCCCTCCTTCTCACCCCGCCTCTATCGTTGTCGCCCTCTTCCCCCCTCCTCCTTCCCACATTTCGGCTCCCCTTCCGTCCTTCTCCTGCCCCACGTTCCCGCCCCAAGTCCACTTCGAGCATCGGGCTTCTCGCCTCGTCCTTTTTTACCTCTGTCCTGTGAGTCGTGCCTCGCGCGCGTATCCGATGTAGCTTGCGCATCAAATGATCGTTCCTGCATGTTCATGCTCCACAGTGGCGTGGGCCAACTATTCTGGTCAGTTGGTGCTGATGGGTTCGGTACGTCGCAGGGTGCTTTGCAACTCGAGGTTCGCAAGAACCTGCGGCCGACATGCTCCCACCTCCTCTGTTGGGAACGGGAATCAAGGACAAGGAGCGGCCGGGGCTCGCCTCGCGGAACCACTCCGCGGCGGGGGTCGAATACCGCTGGTAGCCCATGGATGCCGGGACGCCGTTCGCCGCGAAAAAAGCCCCCAGGCGATCGTTGCCGCCGTGGTCGAAGATACTGAGCGCCTCTGGCGGACCAAAGGGCGACAAGTCGGTCGACGTGGGTAGAAAGCATGAAGCAGGAAGGCGTGAGAAGTAGATCGGGCTTGCGCCCGCCCCCTGAAGAGGAAGGAAGAAGGGAAGACCAATCTATCACTGAAGATGCAAGGTGCCTAAAGTAGATTGGGATCTGGAAATCCAGACAAATCTACAAACAACACGTGTATTAAGCTGATGTTGCTCCCATCGCACTCAAAGACCACATCCCAGAAATAACTTCGAGCGCCGGGAAAAGCGTCGGAAGAGTGTCGAAAGAGCGTCGGACGAGTGTCTCCCAGGGGCCCGACGCGCGAACACCCTGGAGTTTGTGGGTGCTGTATTGGTGCTCGAAGCTCTTTCTGGTGATCAAGGCTAAAGTATTATGAAGCAAGCCACGTGCTACAGACCCTCGATTCGCGAAAACCCAAAACAGTAGTGTTGTTAGTCGTGTTGGTAGTCGTGCGTAGGTGTTTTTGCGACACCAGGAATAAGTCGTGTACAGAATACTGTTTTCCAGGGAAAGAGTAGTGTAAGTTGTCGGCTTTTTTCAGAAAGACGTGCGTTCGCCGCGCGGTACTTCGATAAAGTAGGTTGGAACATCATAGTATTAAGCACGGGCGGCGAGGACGCAGGCCCCTCGGAGGCGGAAGCCGGGAGCGCGCGTAGGCGGCGGGCGGCCAGCGAAAAAAACGGCAGAGGGCGGGGCGCAGAGGCAGGGGCACGAGGGTGCCCTGGAGGAAGGCGCGCGTCCTCTCGGGCGCGTCGGCTATAGCGCACGAGCAGAGACGACGACGACGACGACGACGACGACGACGACGACGACGATGACGACGTCGACGACAGAGGGGGCCGCCGCGCACGAGCAGAGACGACGACGACGACGACGACGACGACGACGACGTCGACGACGACGTCGACGACAGAGGGGGCCGCCGCGCACGAGCAGAGACGACGACGACGACGATGACGACGACGACGCTATGGCCCCCAGGGGTTCGACAGAGGCGGCGCGAGCCGAGCCAAGGCCTCCTCCTCCTCCTCCTCCTCCTCCTCCTCCTCTGGGGGGCAGACGGCCTGGCACGGGGCTGCTCAAGGACCACGTGGAGGAGGAGGAGGAGGAGGGAGGAGGGAGGAAGGAGGAGGAGGAGGAGGAGGAGGAGGAGGAGGAGGAGGAGGATGTGGAGGCCCGGGAGGACGGTCCAGCAAGGCACGGTGCGGACGACGCTGCACGTCGGTCGGAGGAAGCACGTCGGGAGGCAGCTGCTGGGAGGTCTTCGTCTGGAGGATGGAAGGCGATCGAGCCCTGGTTGGGGGCTGCTACGCCGGAGTGGGCCTCGGATCAGGCGGGATGAAGCCAGACTAAGCGGGATTAAGCGAGACTCAGCGGGATTGAGCCGGACTTCGGACCAAGGCAAAATCAGAATTTGACCTCCCAGGAGTTGCATCCGAAGGTAGGTTCGTGCGGCGCTTGCGCGCGCAAAGGTTTTTGACACCGCGTCGATCTCTCAACCTTGAACCGATCGCGGCCCTGATCGTTCAAGGGTGAGTTCCGTCGGGACCACAGGCGTTACCGCGTCCCTCGGCACTTCCGCGTCACAGAATTCAACCTTGAATGCCTTTGCTGGCGTCGCTGGCGCGCCAACGCCGCATGAACCTACCGGACCTAGGACAGAAGAGCATCTTCCAGAAAGATGAGGCACTTCGGCAACCAAAACACACAGAGCATCCGAAGGTACCCTCCCAAAGATGCACAAGGGCATCCCATAAGCACGAATAGTATTATGGCACCCTCCCCGAACCGACCTCGATCTTATACCTCGGCCCGACTGTAGGTAAAACCGTGAAGTAGAAAGGCGGATCAAGTCGATTGGATTCAGGCCCTCCCAGAGAATAACGACACACAGCAGAAGCATGCCGATTATTGAAGTAGGAAGGGGCTAGAAGGATTGGGATCTGGGAATCTATAAATTCCTTATTTCAACGACCGACGGGTAACAAGGAGACCCGGGAGGACAATCCGACAAGCATGGTGCAGACGACCAGCGCGTCCCACATGTCGCACTGTGTCTCAGGGGCGGCATGCGACAAATGCGCGCGGCCGTCACACTTACCAACATGTGCACTCCGATATTTGCCATGTGGAACGTCAAGGCTCGGACACGAATGCAGGCAAGCAGCTAGATATCTGCCGGCACGGAGCGAGCAGTGCGCACGGCTGCCTATTCAATGCCCTCGCGACTTCACATTGCATCCTCATCGCACCCCCTGGGTCTTGGGTCTTCGGTTGCCCAAACCCAAGCCCACTGGGCACGCAAGCCCCCCAAAAAAACATTGCACACAACATGGTTGCCTTGAAGACTGCCCAAGCTGACCCCGACGATGGCCATTGAGCCTCTGAGCGCAGTCCCCGAGAAGCTTTTCCACCTTCCGCTTTCCACCTTCCGATGGATGCCAATAATTTCAAGGCGGCCCAAGCACCTGAAGGAAGCCCGACAACGGCTCAGGAAGAGTCCAACAGGCCTCCAGCCCCAAGGGACCCCAGGGAGGAACAAGTGGCACGCGTGCCCTGGCTCTTGCACGTTTGAGGAGAAAGAGAGGGGAGGAGGTGCGAGGGGGGGCCGAGAAGGCCAGGGGATGGGGGGCCATGGCCAGAAGGACGGAACCACGAACAGAAAGGGTCCGGGGCGAGGAGGGCTGGGGCCAAGGCCAGGGTCGGGGCGAGTGGGGGTCCAGGGCCAGGGCCGGGGGACTGAAGCTCGGCCCAGGGGCCAGAGGTCCGGGTTCGAACCACGAAAACACGGCGAGGAGGGCTGGTGCGAAGGCCAGGGTCGGGGCGAGTGGGGCCGAGGCCAGGAAACAAGCTGAGTTCAGCCAGGGCCGGAGGGCTGGGGCTCGGACCAGAGGCCAGAGGTCCGGGTTGGGGCGAGGGGGCGAGGGTGGGCGGGCCACAGCCAGGGGGACGGGGGCGAGGGGAAGCGGGCCACAGCCAGGGGGATGACGACAAACCACGAACCACGAAGATAAAAGGGCCGGGGCGAGGGGGGCTGGGGCCAGGGCCAGGGGGCGCCAGAGCCAGGGAGGGAGGCTGGGTTCAGGGCCACGGCAGGAGGACGGGGGCGAGGGGGCCAGGGGAAGCAGGCCAGAGCCAGGGGGACGACGACGAACCACGAAAATAAAGGGTCCGGGGCGAGGGGGGGGCGCCAGAGCCAAGGAGGGAGGCTGGGTTCAGGGCCAGGGCAGGAGGCCTGGGGCGAGGGGGCCAGGGGAAGCAGGCCAGAGCCAGGGGGACGACGACGCCAGGGCGAGGGGGGCTGGGGCCAGGGCCGGGGGAGGGGGCTGGGTCCAGGGCCAGCACCAGGGGGGCGACGACGAACGAAAACAAAGGGTCCAGGGCGAGAGGGGCTGGGGTCAGGGCCACGGGGGGGGCAGGGTCCAGGGCAAGGACCGGACCAGGGACGACGACGAGCGAACATAAACGGTCCAGGGCGAGAGGGACTGGGGCCAGGGCTGGGAGGGGGGAGGCTGGGTCCAGGGCCAGGGCCAGCGGGGCGAGGGGGGTTGGGGCCAGGACCAGGCGGGAAGGTTGGGTCCAGGGCCAGGACCGGACCAGGAACGACGACGAACGAAAA